ATCGCCAGAAATGCCTTTTACTAAGAACGGACTAGAATCTCTAAGCTACATATTTTGGCTGATAAATAAAATTGACCTTTTAATGGTATTGTTACGTGTCGGGATGGGGTTCGAAATTATATGCCAGTTCACGATTGACAGTTCTTTATTCACCACACAGTTCACACAATTAACACAAATTGTTAATTACAAAACACTCACTAAACACTATTTCACTATACAAGTCTCTAAACAATCTCACTTGAACACTTTTGTTGCACTTTGATCGCCTTTGGATTCGCTCCGAAATCGCTGTTGAAACTCAACTGTCTCTGCGCGGCGCCAATCGCCCTTATATACGCCGATCGATGCATTCTAGAAAGTAAATAAATAAATAAATATTTCCAACACTCACACCAATTAGCCTAGCCCCAAAGTAAGTACTATAAGGCTTGTGTTATGGGATACTAGGGTAACGGATAGAATACATAAACTGTACTTATATATATAAGTATATTTTTTTTTATAGAAATACATATTAAACATCCATGATTGGAGTACAAATGCTCGTATTCATCACACAAACATCTGTCCCCACCGGGATTTGAACCCGGGACCTCTCGAGTCGGCGACACCATGAAACCCGGCGTACAAACTACTCGACCACGGAGGTCGTCGAAAGTCGAAGTTCTAGAAAGTACCTGTTAAATTGAGAATTACCTAGCACCCGCGAGTACGAAATACCTACTTATACCTACGCAAGTAACACGCATAACTTGTAAAGAAGTGCAGATATCGTTGCACTTTCTCCTTTACGTCGCACTGCATAAGGCTCATTTTAGAATGAGCCGCCTTACTCGACTTCTATTGCGAACCGCGGTGCTCTGGCTAATTCGATCTCTAGCACATTCGCGGTTCCGTTTCGAGAGCGTTTGTGACAGTATAATGGACAACCAAGAATTTCTTTTAATGATGTCTTTCGGGAAGCTGAAACATAAACAAAGGTATAAGACCGCTGCTAGATAGCTGTTATTAAATAGGTTTTCTACATCTAATCAACATGATCTACTACAGTATTTATTATAAACTTATTTTCATATTTTGAACTTTATAATTACTATTTACAATAATACTTATGTATTTTGACTTTCTCAAAATATCTCAAGTGTAGTGATAATGGTTACCCTACAAAACCAAAATTTATATTATTTTAATTTAATAAACTGCTGAATATGGTACCAAATGTAGTGAATAAAACAAGAATAACGTTAATTTATAGCCTCAGGACACTATGATTTATAAATACTAACGTTTTATTATGATTACAACATAAAAATATAGGAATATATTTATTTCGGTATTGGCGTAATGTAATAGCCTTACCTGTGAAATTTAGTGCTGGAATTTGGTTCCCAAACACTTCTGCAATCTCACACAACACAATACATATTATAAATAGCAAATTGAACAATTTAACACTTTTTATTAATAATCTAAACATTCGAAGCGGTAGATTTTTTTTGACAGATCGGAGATATTCTTCAGTTGATTTTTTAATTAGTGTTGCTATTATACCAAAATGGTAGCAACCAGCAAACAGGGAAATAAAGGGCGTATTTATTATTTAGTTTTAAATATTGATTTCAAAGTAGTTGGTTAGAATTTGTCACACTCATCTTATAATAGTAATACAAGAGTAGGACTTCTGGAGATTGTAAAACTGATTGATATCTTGCATAGTTCTGTTTATTTTCACTTTCTGATTGGAATTTCTTGTATTTAACATGGTAATTTCAGATAGTGTGTGAGAGAGATAAAAAACATATCATGGGGTTAATGAACTCATCTTCATACAGAAGTTCTACATGCAATCTCCAGTGTTGTATATAAGCTTCTTGTATATTACACACCTTGCATTTTTTTTAAACTTAAAAATGAATAAACCAAATTGTATAAAAATTTCAAGCTTACAGCAACAAGTTTTTATTTAATATATTTTTTGAAAATTCCAAATATAGGGCTTGATGACGTACAGGGCTGGGGAGTGCCAGGCGATGCTTACCGTACTAAGCATGCTATGACTCATCACCTTAAAAATTTCTAGCCTTACAGACAGACCATTACTCGGAGGGTTCAGTAGCTCTTAATCTATAACCAAAGCTTTGCCGCACGAAATCGTATCGCAGTAATTCGCATCGTAGCTTTGTGTGGGAGCCCTATGAAAGGCTGCGGGAAGCCGGGGGATTATCAGGACCGATCAGTGTGGCGGACGACTTGTTCAACAGTGCGCACTTGGGATGTCATATAGCTGAATGATGACGATAATGTGCAGTCAGCAACAGATTGAGTAAGTTGAAATGAAATTGTCAATATTCTCTAATTGACTTTTAGCTTATTTATTATTTGTATTAAAATATCTCATCATTATCATAAGCCTATTATTGTCCCCACTGCAGGGACACAGGCCTTCCCTATAGATGGAGTAGGGAGATAGGGCGGACCCAATGCGGATTGATGGGTGCTAATGACTACAGATGCAGCCGGGAGCAACGGCTTAACGTGCCTTCTAAAGCACGGAGGAGCTCGAGATAATGCTTTTGGTTACCCATCCAATGGCGGACCATTGTAAAAGTTGCTCAACTTTACGATCGGTAACCATATCTATCTATCGGTATCGAGTGCGCTAACCATATGCGCCATCGAGCTCCTTAAACTATGTAACTCAGAATAATTACTATATCTATATCATTATTGTCAGTTGTCACTAGTGGTCATCACTGGCAAAAAACTCGATCCTTTTAGTACATAAACCAGTATAAAGTTCATAAATTTAAAAGTGTTATAATTTTTCTCGCTCAAATACTTCAAATTTAATGCGAGCTCTGATTTAAATTCACTTTGTAATGCAAAACAACTCGTACTTGGGCACACATCAGCCGCTTTTTAACCCTACTTAACGAATACTTAATGTGGCACAGTGTGTAATTTTAATGTTCATTGCCTGTATTCAGTTCTAATTTTCTCGTCTTTGCTGCGAGATAACAGCATTAAAAGCCTTTGTGGAGTTTTAACTCAATATTTCTAGTTATAGTATATATGTTATGGGCCAAGTGATTAATGCGGGCAGTATTCATAATGCCAGGGCAGTATGAATAATGCCCAGCCAAATCGGGCCAAGTGATTAATTACAATCTAAACTCACCTATTTATCACATTGCCCGCTCATTATTAATAATGCCGGACGGCTCATGGTCCATTTAATAAGTCAGTGTTTGAGATAGCTTTAATTTATCGCTTGGACAGGGCAGTATGAATAAATTCAAAAAGTTGGTACTATTGTCAAAATGACAGATGTCTCGCCGTTTTATGTTTATTTTGAGTATAGTAATCGTGCGACCCGTAGCGCCTGAGGCTGGTCACCGCCGGAGGTGGCGACCAACAAGCCGAAGGTGTGAAGGGGAGTGATGCTTGTGACTTTGTCACGCAAAGCCGAAGGGGCTGCTGTTCCCGCAGCGCCGGAGATAAGGCAGAAGTACCAGGTTTTACTTCCCTAGTCCTTGCATCCTAAAAAAAAGGGAAATAAATTTGGAACATTTAACACAAATATATTCATATTGCCCGGGCATTATGAATAATGCGCAATTAATCACTTAGCCCATAACATATATATTGGTACGCATACGGGAGCAGCTGGTGATGAAAGACTATGTACTCAGTTCTCCATTATACACAATAAATTTGTAAATATTAGCTAATATGCAAAAGATGATGTCTTCCCACATCCTACTACAATGAAAATTTCATAGAAAACCTATTATTTAGCCTTGCTATTACGAAAGTATAAGAAAAAAATATTTTTGTTACGCTGTTGGTTTTCTGAATAAATAAATAAATATTAGTTATAGTTTTAGTTTCATATGAAATTTTCTTGGTACTATTTAATCTTTTATGCGTGTAACAAATGTTATAGTTTTGCGTTTTACGGGGAGCGCGTAACATAGAAACTAAGAGAACTGATAAAATAATAAAATTGTTAATAACTATGAAAATAGAATACCTATATTTGTTAATATCAAACTGATTAAGCTAATGAAAACGCGTGGTATGCTTTATGACGGAATGCGAACTGTACGATATAAACTAAATTATTAATTATAAGTAAATTGGGTTAATAAAGAAATGCTGCATAGGCAATGTACGCGCTTGCTCATACAGCCTTCACATATTAACATTAAATGATGATTTTATTCCATTTAATTAACCATCCAATTGAGGTTTTCTGGAGAATCACATTAAATCAAGCTAAAATATTACAGTTCTCCTTCCAGCAATTCATGTTACGTACTGACAGAACGTGCCACGTAATTCTAGGTACTAGGATCACATGAGTAAAGAAGGCACAGAGGCAGCTTTATACAGTGCGCGTGTGTGAGTGAGCACTGTTGGTCTGTCACGTACGCAGACAAACGTTTCAATGGGGTATTTGATAAGTTAAAGAAAATGATCTCACGTTATTTAATAATGTTCATGGAGTGTATATCAGTAAAAAAAAGTTAATAAATATTTCATTTTCAAATTGCCGCGAAAACGTTTTTCTGAACATTATAGCCTCACACTGGTATGTGACGTCTCATGACTGTCATTAAAATGTCAAATGATACAATGTAATATCACTTTGACCGGAAGTTTACTAGCCTAGACGTTTTCGGTCACGTGATCATAGAACAATAACATTTCTATTTAAAAAATAATTATTTAGATATTTGAATAATTATAATTTCTTTCAGAATAGAAAAATTGCTGCTTATATGCATATTAAATACAGATGCTAACAATTGGTACTTTATTTATCATACTGTCAAATAGCCTACTGGTAGCGAGCGACAGGCGCTAGTGCTCTAACACACGCGCGCTGCACGATGCTTTGACTCCGTGCCTTCTTTACTCATGCGCTAGGGTTAAGGTGCGAAGACATCTTAAAAGCTTTACAGCTCGTTTGCTAGGCAGTAAAGCTATATAATATGGCTCCTAAGGTGAGAATATTACTCAATACCTAACTTGAGCAGTTTTATTAGGGTGGACTAGGAATTCATACATTTTGTGTTTGATGATTCTTTAGATGCTCGTACAAAGGATATAATTGCAGAATGAAGTAGATCCTATAGCTTCGTTCTGGTAGGCGGCCGGCGCTGTTCGTCTTTTTAAAAAAAACCCAAAATTCCCGGATATGAATTTAATGATTTTTGATATACACAATTACACACGCGAACTCGAGTACCAAGTCCTGAGCTACCCGGATGGACCGTTCTTTCCCGTTGCCAAAGTCTAACTGACTGTGGGAATTGATGGAATAATGTAAGGGCTGCGTTAATGCAACTCTGCAGTTTAATTCTATGGAAAATTACAGTTATACACGTTTTTGTTGAATTAGCATTCTATGGTTACTAAGTCGGGTTATAACAACTCCCCCCTTTTAACGGAGCTTTATCGAAAATTAGGATGAAGCGGAGTTATAAAAATAATCAATGATAAGAGACAGCTTCAGGATTTGGTAAACAGTTGTACATTATAAAACATATAAAAAACAATAAAATGATTCCCAATAATATTACTCTAAGTAACAAAGTCATAATAATCAAGGTTAGAACTAAGATCTCATCTCGTAAGATGAACAAGGTTTAGTAAGATAATTATAAAATGTAAAAATATTAAAAATTCAAATTTCTAGAACTAGAACTAATAAACTTATCTTTATGTCTACTACTATAAGGTTTACAATCGGTTCGACAAGCAGGTAAGGATTTAACTGACTGCTTATCTTCATCAGAGTTAGAGACATCTGTTAATTCTATGGAGTTAGTAAATTTTGTTTGACGCTTTACATTTTTGTTATTGTTACACTGATTAAATATCTGTATGCAACAAGATGAATGAATTCCTTTCCGAGAAAAACATCTGTATGCCTTATAAATTAAAAATAAAATTATAGCTACAATTAGAAAATAAGTAAAAGCGGAATAGTATGTTCCATACTTAATAAAATGCGATTCCTGTTGAAATTGGTTTATATTCTTTTCAAGATCATCTAAATGTCGAGAAGCATGGGTCAATGTATCTAAATCGATATTGTTAAGAGATAACGGAGAAAGTAAAGGAATCGTTTTATTAATTATGTCCTTTTTACAACAGTCGTCTTGAGTGATATCAAAGTCTATGAAGAGTTGATTATTATAATTGAACGACATAGTGGTAGATGGGAAGAACTGTAAAGTTTTTGAATAACCGACACAATCAGGATGCAATTCTAATATCCCGGTACCTTGAATAGGATAGTCTTTGATATCCTCGTTACATTTTATTGTCAATTTATTTAATTGCGACTGCACAAATATCCATCTGTCATCATGGAGTTTTTGCCAAATATTTATTTGACCATATAATAATTTGGAAGTACATTCTTTTGGTAAAGATAAAACAACATCTGTCAATAGTTTAGATTCACAAGAAGGATTCGTATTCGACGATAAAAGTGTTATTGATTGCGATTGACAAATACTGTAATCGTTATTTATTTTATAACAATCCCTGATATCATCTAAAAGTGCATAACTTTGCCTATCGTCGGAAATAGCAAGATAAGGCTTACTAGGATGAATAAGAGCAAAAACGTTTAAGTTGTCGTTATCTGAGGGTGTAGGCAAAGGAATTAATTTATAAATAGAATATTTGACGGGAGAGGTTAGAGGAATTTGTAATACAAATACAATTTTCTTATTATAATAATATGACGTTAATTTAGAAACGTCTATAATAGTATGTATAGTTTCAATATTTAGAGGAACAGGAAAACCTAATCTTTTACTCATTACGTTACTGTTTTTTATGAGTTCTTTTAGCAAATTAGTAGGCGTTATCACCACAGGGTGAAGAATATTTGCCTTGGCAAACAAAATAGCATTTAAAATAGAATCTAAGAAATTAGAGATAGTTAATGATGAACTTTCTAAGATATTAACTAAATTATTAACTTTAGATATATATACAAGTTGATTATTATTCTTGGTAGCTTGAGATAAAATCTCATTAAGGTTATTAATTTGTGAATTTAAACGAAACTCATTTTTATTTAATCTAGATACTGTCGAATTGAATGCATTTATAGTAGATTTTACAACGTGAATATTTTCTTTTATAAGGTGAAATAACTCTGTTTCACTGTTTTGAGATGCTTTAATAGCAGCATCATATTTTCGGGCATCATCGGCATCTAATGTACCGAAAAAGAATTTTAAAATTTCTCCACCGAACTCTAGAGACCTCTTAGAGCGGTTGGGTGAGTCTGTACCAATAATATGAGATAAGGAATTTAATTTTAAATAGTTAGATTGTAACAATACTTCGATTGGGCTGATAACATCTTTACATTGTATATATTCTGTCAATCTCGACTGGATGCAGATATCTAGAATTTTTCTTAGAGAATTTTCAATATTGTCGAGATGAGGCTCTACAGATACTATCATCATACATACATCGATAAAAGAAACAATTTTCCAATAGTCATTATAAAAATATACGTTTGTTATGGGATCATAATAAATCCCTAGACTATGAGCTATGGGCGTGATGAAGGATGTGGCATAGCTCAAGTGCCATAACGTTCTGAAAAGAAATAGAATAAAAATATAATAAGTACGTAATTATAATTGAGCTGGTTTTATCTCGTTTGTATGATGCTTTACATGTTTTCTATTTATAGATAAGGTGACGTTATGTTTACCATTTGTTTTAACGATTTTATAAGGCCCTTTCCAAATGGGCGATAAGGCTTTCTTTAGCCGATGGTGACATTTTAAATAAACCATGTCACCTGTCTTATAAGTGACGTCACGCGAGTTCGAATCATAATATTGCTTAGATTTTATTTTACTATTTACAATATTCTGTATAGCTTTCTCTCGGCTAAATCGCATCCTATATTGCAAGGCGCGAATATATTCATTATATGTATTGTTTTAAACTTTCATGGTCACTAACCATATGTATTGTTATTCGTCTCGTATAAGGAACTAGGAATAGAAGGTTTATAACCATATAATAACTCATAAGGAGTAAAATTAGTAGTTCAATGCGGAGTAGTATTATAGGCTAAAATTGCAGTAAATAAATAACAATGCCAATCGTTCTGATTATCGTTTACGAATGATTTTAAATATTCTTTCATAGTGGCATGTGACCTCTCGAGGGCACCATTTGTTTGGGGGTGATAAGGAGTAGCAAAAAGAGATTTGATTTTAAGAATTTTTGTTAATTGTTTAAATAATTCGGATGTGAAACACGTACCTAAATCTGTTAAAATAGTCTTAGGGAAGCCGAAAAGAGACATAAAATGAACAAGATTTCGTGCTATCTTCACTGGTGGCGGACACCATAGGATAAGCACTTGAGAACTTAGTTAGATCGTCCTGAAGAGTCAGTATGTATTTGAACTTTTGAAATCCAGCTTCCGGCAATGGACCAACGATATCTAGAGCTAATCTCTCAAAGGGCTTGGTAGAAGTGGATGTAATCTCCATAGGAGCTCTATTTGATTTTCTTAAAGGTTTATTTATCTGACACAACTTACAACTTTTTTCCGAAACGTTCAATGTCAGCGCGCATTCCTTTCCAATAGTAAGCAGCCTTAATTCGATTATACATGCGCTTTGACCCTGGATGACCCGCGATTGTTGAATCATGATTTTCTTTTAATATTTTTGGGACTTCAGCGGGAGTCGGGTATATCAATTGATTTTTATAAATATAAATTTTTAAATTAGTATTATGAAAAATGTATCTATATTTTAGTATATATTATCTTTGAGATTATATTATATATTTTAGTATATATTATCTTTGAGAAAGGATCAGAAAAATCCGATAATGCAATCTCATTGCAATTAGAATTTTCGGCTAAGATTTTATCTCTAAGTTTAATTAGTAAATTGTAAATATCTTTATATTTTGTTTCTTCGTAATGATGTACTTTTGTAAATAAGAAATAATATGTTCTATTTTTATCCACTACAGATCGTATAGTAAACGGCTCGCGCTCGGAGTTTAACAAGTCAGCGGAATTCTCGAGCCGCGATAATATTTCCTCGCAATGGGGCATAGAGTAATCAAAGTCTAAAGAGACTGGACATGCGATTGAATTCGACTTAGACAAATGCAATGCTTGACTGCATTCTTCGATTATAGTATTAGATGTAATAGATTTATTTATGAATTGATCTTTGAAATATTTCTCATATGATGCATTATTTAAACTTTTTATATCAATGGCATTGACGGGATAGCGTGATAACGCGTCCGCATTTGAATTTAAACGTCCTTGTTTATAAACGATTTCATAATCATATTCCTCTAACTTGAGGCGCCACCTGATAAGTCTACTACCAGGATCTGAAATACTAAATAACCATACTAAGGGTTTGTGGTCAGTTACGATCTTGAACTTACGTCCATAGATATAAGGACGAAATGTTTTGACGGCAAAAATAATAGCGAGAAGTTCTTTCTCCGTGGTGGAGTAGTTTCCTTCTGCTTTGTTGAGCGTTCTCGACGCATAAGCTATAGGTTTATCTTTACCTATATCGCCTTGGGAAAGAACTGCACCTACGGCATAATTAGAGGCATCCGTCGTAACTATGAACGGAGCGGAGAAATCAGGATATTGGAGTAAAGGAGCAGTAGTGAGTTTATCCTTAAGGATGTTGAAAGCAGTTTCTTGTTCAGAGGTCCAATTAAAAGGAGTATCCTTTTTTAATAAGGAAGTGAGAGGCTTAGTAACCTTGGAAAAGTTTTCTATGAAGCGTCGGTAGTACCCGACAAGACCCAGGAAAGATTTTATTTGTTTTTGATTTTTGGGACTTGGAAATTCGGCAACAGCCTTGACCTTTTCGGGATTCGGTGAGACGCCTTTATCGGTTATAATATGTCCTAAATATGCGACTTCTCGACGTAGAATTTCGCATTTGTCTGGTTGTAGTTT